GACACCGGCTTACACTCATGCATGTTAAATTTCCGTAATAATCCTGCGATATATTCTGTTTGGCTTAAAACTGTATGGTCACCGTTCTGTAACACATTTATGCCAAGATAGCACTTAGCAATACCTAGATCTTTAACTTTAAAACATTTCTGTAAATAGTTCTTTATATTGAGCAATTCATTATTGTCTGTCGACATAATTAGGAAATCATCGACGTACACCAGGAAATAAGTTTTAATACTGTTACTCACTTTATAATAAAAACAATAATCATTTTTACTGGCTGTAAAACCATATTTTCTTAAAGTGTCATCTAATGTGTCATACCAATACTTAGGCGACTTTTCAAGACCGTACAGAGCTCGATTTAATTTACATACTTTATCACTTTCTATATTAAAATTCACAGGCAAACTCACATACACAAGTTCATTTATCTTACCATTAAGGAAAGCCGTACAGACGTCCATTTGATGCTGTTTAATTCCCAATTTCACACTTATTGCAACAAACATTCTGAAAGTTGTGAGCTGTGCGACCGGCGAGTAAACTTCGGATGCCGATACAAATTCTTTTTGTTTGAAACCACGAGCTACTAAACGCGCCTTAAAAAACTTATTTCCGTCTTCGCCTTTCTTTATTTTAAAAAGCCATTTGGTATCAACTGGCTTGCAATCAGCCGGCTTGGGAACAACAGTCCACGTGTTATTCTCCGCAAGGGATGATATTTCCTTCTCCATTGCATCAATCCACTTATCAGCTTCATTGCCGTTAATTGCTTCTTCATAAGACTTAGGTTCAAATACTTCGGCAAAATGAAGTACACTATACATTTCTGAGTCTTCATATCTTTGTGGTGGTCGAATCTTACTACGATCTCTCAATCTCCTTTGTTCGCTTTGTTGACTTTGCTCGATATCAATTGTTTCTACAGATTCTTCGTTGGTAACTGTTTCGAGTTGACTATTATTTATTCTTGTTTCCATCCTTTCAACCTCTACTTCTTTTTCATTTTCCTCAATTTCACAATTATTACTATCAGTAGAGTCAATTACGCGTGAACTCGGCCGTTCCGTCTTTGTTTCTTCGATATCTGTATTTGACAGCAAAATTATATCCCTGGTCAAAATAACATCGTCTTTTTCAGGAACATAAACACGATATCCTTTTACATTTTCTTCATATCCCACAAATATTCCAATCGCGTTCTTATCGTCCCACTTCTTACGAATTTCCTTCGGAATGTGAAAAGAAACACGATTGCCAAAAACTTGAAAAGTATTAAAATCAACTGATTTGTTTGTCCAAAGTTCAAACGGTGTTTTTTTCTTTACGGGACTTGGGCCAGTTCTATTTAGTACATAAATGGCTGTATTCACAGCTTCTGCCCAAAAACTCTTGGTCATTGACTTTGCTTTCAACATTGTTCTGGCAGCTTCTACAATTGTGCGCATTTCCCGTTCAGCCCTACCGTTTTGTTGAGGCGTGTACCTTATAGAGTTTTGATGTACGATTCCATATTTATTCAACATTTTACATACCTCATTGTTGACAAATTCTGTTCCGTTATCCGTCCTTAATATTTTTAATTTGTATCCAGTCTGTTTTTCTACTAGAGCAATAAAATTGTCAATGCAGTTTTTAACTTCGTACTTGTTTTTGATGAAATATACTTTTCTGAAATTACTGTAATCATCTTTGAACAGAAGAAAATATTTAGAACCACCAATAGATGAAACTTCCATAGGACCGCAGAGGTCGGCATGTACTAACTCACACGGAGAATTTGCACGATTTTCACTACGTATAAAGATATCTCTATGTTGTTTACCAGCACAGCAACTTTCACAAACAGCAATTGAAATATTTTTGTAAATTACACCGTGCTCTGACAGTACATTTTTGATTTGTGTCAAATTTTGATGTGCTAGTCTGTCATGCCAGTCAATCAAATCAAGAACAACATTACTTGAAGGAGGTTGGTTATACAAACGAAAAATCATTTTAAACAGATTTCCATTTCGCTCAGCAATAGCCTTAACAGACCCTTCAGAATCTATTATTTTACACAATTTACTATCAATAATTGTACTGTACCCTTTATCTACAGCTCTACTTACTGAGAATAAGTTTACCTTTAAATCCGGCACATACAAAACATTTGATATAGTGGTTTCTATCCACTGGTTACCATTGTAAGCTTCTAACCTAATACACCCAATACCTTTTATCGACAGCATTGATCCGTCGCCTATTTTAACAGTTTTATTCTTTTCTGTAGTTAATTCAATGAACATGTCCTTGTCTTTACACATATGTTCTGATGCTCCAGAGTCCATAAACCACTCAACTAGGTTGTTATCCGTTGTTCCAACAAATGCGTTAGCTGCTTGACAGTTATATGTGCATCCGTGTTCTTTGTCACGACCTCGGTTGCCTCCTCTATTTGCAAACTTGTGTAAGTTGAATCTACATTCATTCGCAAAGTGGCCAAACTTTCCACAATAATGGCATTTTATGCCCGCTTTGCAATACCTTGTTTCATGACCGGATCGGTTGCATTTTTGGCAAGTAACGGAAACTCTATATTTACGTGATTGCAAAGGATGAGATCGCATTGCTAACGCTTGCATTGGCACGTTTTCTTTTAATCTGTGCTCTTCAAGCAGCAGTCTAGACGTGAGTTCATTCAAAGTTTGATATTCTCGGGGTACTGATTCCCATGCAGTGACAAAATGATTGTAGACCGCAGGTAGTGACGTTATTATTTTTGTTATCATCATAGTCTCAGATATATTTTCTTTGTTTTCTGCAAGTTTGTTACGTATTTCCTCGAGCTTTGCGACAAACATACATATACCTTCTTCTTCATATTTGATAGAGAAAAATTTCTGCTGTAGTAAATGAGTATCTATATTCGTTTTAGGCTCAAAAACAGATTTCAATTTTGTAAACATTTGGTATGCCGTTTTGCATGATAGGACCAAGTTCATAGTTCCCTCCTCTAATCTATTTATAATGATTTCTTGTGCTTTTGCATCTTTGTCGAGAAACTTTTCATCCGGATTGTCATTTTCTTTTTCAATATTAGAATATATTTGCTTAGCTTTTAACAATATTTCGATTTGAAATTTCCAGACCACAAAATTAGAGCCATTAGTTCTAAGTTTCACATTGCAGGACTCCATTTTGAATTTTCTTCTTCTTCTTCTTCTTACCTTCTCGTATTTCAAAATTTCAACCGCTTAGTTACGTTATTTATTTATTTATTAGTGCCTTCTTATAGCCCATAACCTGAAAGAAAACACTCACGCCCGAGAAGTAATTATTAAATATTTTATTCAAAAATCTTATACATTTTATATTGGTTCCACATTTTGAAAAATGATAGGAGTCAAAGTATTTCCTTTTTTTTACCCGACTCCACATACACGCAGGTATTCTCAAATGAGGTTTCATTACCTCTAACAAAGATATTATCAAGTTACCATTTCACTCAAGAAATAACTTCCATATCACCCTTCAAATTAAAGAACTATTATTTGATTGAGCCTGGATCCCTGGACACAAAGGGATTGGCGGCAATGAAACTGCTGATAGGTTTGCAAAGGATGCTATCTCATCCGGCTTGCCGGACAACTTAGGCTGCTTCTCCCGAGATCTACGTTGTTTGGCTAAACCAAAATTGTTCAGGAGCTGGGACGAAACTTTCTAAAAATCGCTCCTACTAAAAGGTAAACACTTCGGCTGTCTCCAACCAAATATACCATGCAAACCTTGGTTCTTCCGCTACAAACACATACTTAAACCTTATTCATCAATGATTATCCGGCTGAGACTGGGTCATGTTTGCTCCCCGGTTTTCCTAGCCAAAATTAAAGTACGTGATCACTCCCTCTGTGAATGTGGACTAGAGGAAGGCACTCTAGAGCACTTATTTTTTAACTGCCCCCTAATAAGCTTCCCACATTACGATTTGCTTCCCGAAAATATTCCTCGCCCAATAAATATCAAGTATTTCCTAGCCAATGCACACTGTCCACTAGTTTTCACTTTATACAAATTTCTAAAACTTAATAACATAAATCTGTAACCAGCTCCGAATAGCCTCCGCTCGACCACATTCATTTCATAATTTTCTGTCCCAACTAATGATGAGTCGGAGAATAATTCCCATTTCTGAACAGTCTTAATTTTTTTGAAAAATGAATATTCTTCATTCTTCCTGTATTCTCCCATTATCTTTCGTATAATTTTATTTCTTTTTCCATCCTCCATGATAATTTTCCACGTTGACCCCTTGTAACGCATTTTCCTCACGGTAATAAAAAAAAAGGCCAAAAGTTTGTTACTGACCGAAAATGATGCCTAACTCTCTTTTACTAAACGATTTTATTTTTTATTTTCCGCTATATAAAACTTCCAAAAATGTTTGCAAAAGTAAGAAAATAACATGAGCCCTCAAATTATATTTATGTAATGTTATTTAAAATATATATATATATTTTAAATAACATTACATAAATATAATTAAATATAAATTAAATAAATTAAATAAAAACGACGGAGCCATAGATACAAAAGTTGAAGTTGAAGTTGAGGATTCGCTCTGGACCTTTTGGAGGGAAAAGTGTCGTTTTTATTTTGACTTTCAATTATTTCGTGAAATCTAGTTTAAAGTGGAATAGGATAGTGCTATTGTGCCTTAATCGAAGATTAAAACGCGAAATTATACGAATCTCGACCTAAAATACCCATATCCGCCCGTTTTAAGGAATCCCGAGTCAATCCAAGCACGCCGCCTCAATTTGCCTATCCTTTTTGTGGCGGCCATATTTACAGAAACAATTAAACTTCATGTCCAAAAAAGAATAATGTACCAAGACTTGGCTGTATGGCGTAAAACCTGTGCCTTTTCCTTTATGGAAAGAAGAAAAAAAAATTGAAAACAAACAAACAGTAATCTGTGAAACAAACTGATTGTATATTTGGATGGAGCCATAGCATTTAAAAGAAGAAGAAATTGATTAAAAGCGATTTATTTTAATTACATAAATAGGCTTTATAAAATATCTGATGATAATGTCATCTCAAATAGAAACAGTAAAATCTACAATAAGCAAGTCCTTAAAAATTATTCGCATGTATGATTGGCTCATAGACTTGTATGTTTTGGTAAGTTAGACAAACTTAATACCTTTATAGCTAAGGAAATTGAGCATAAACAATGAAACTATTGTAAGAAAATTAAATTTTACAGGATTTCTTTGTCGACAACCATTGGGAGAAACTACCAGCGTCATGGCGCAACTGTTTTGAAAGTTTAGATCCTCAAATATTGGGAGATATATTATCGGGAAATCGTACACGTTACGTCTTGCCATTATCATTTTTGGCCCTTATAAATTCCGTTAGAACTTTTAGTATACATCGAACATACCCAAACAAAAATCTAGATACGATAAATGGTAATATGGACTCATGTGGGGGCCACCCTAAATTGAAGAACCTATTTTTAAAGCATGTTAAGTTAAAAAAGCGACATGAAATTTCCCTAATGGCAAATATAGTGGCCGATACAGCGTCAAAAAGTGGTTGTCATTCTGTGATAGACTTTGGATCAGGCCTTGGACACTTGGTGAGGATGCTGGCATATAAAAATGATCTATACGCTGCTGGAATTGAATGTCAAAATCAGTTGACTGTCGAAGCTAGGTAGGTAATAGGTGAGTGTTATGAAGCTTGCATGCATAAAAGCATTAGTTGTATGTCTCTGGTCATGATTGTATATTTTAATAATGAAAATTTTTATTTGTATTGCCTTATTGCAAATTAGCTTCAATGTACCTTATTTTCCTCTTATCTTCCAGAAAGCTCGACCTTGAACTAGAATACACAGCAAGTAAGCATCTCTCCCCCTCAGCTATGTGTCAACTCCGTCGTCCAATACATTTTAATGTACAACTTTCAGCACATGAACAATTGGACCTACTACCACTACCAAACACAATGAAAAATTATGGTCTTATTGGACTCCATCCCTGTGGAGATCTGGGGCCATTGTTACTAAATCATTTTGTCAATTGTGAAGCAGTAAAGTTTATATGTGTAGTTGGGTGCTGTTATATGAAATTGGAGAGTCGAGGGTACCCAATGAGTGAATATGTGAAGACTTTGGATTGTCGTCTTTCATATGTCAGTAGAGAGATTGCATGTCATGCTATTGAATTTTATGTCGACAAGCTGAGGAAGGGACAGTTTGAGGATTTGAAGGTGATATGTCTACTTTGAATAGAAAATTCATAACTACATATATATATTACAACTGTTCTGGTTATTCATTTAGTGGTTATTGCTAGTTACAGATTTCTAACAACCTAATGACTTCTTTTTATTAACTTAATGTATCGGAATAGTTATACGCTTCAAAGTCATGAGTTGTCTGTCCTGTAACTAGTATTCATTTAGGAAGTTCATGTCCTCCAAAAACAAATAACTGAATATGTCTCCATAGTGTGTTGATTTGCATTCTCGCAATATTTAAGTATTTAATTATTTAATTATAATATATATATATATAATATAATTAAAAAATATATAAAATAATATAATTATATAATATATAGGTATATAATTAAATATTTAATTATAAATATTTAATTATTTAATTAATAATAGAAATAATGCTAAATCTAAAAATATAAAAAAAATTCTATTGAATATCCTGGGTAATTGTATCTAGTACAGTTTAGCAAAATAGTCCCCAAATCGTATGCACCCCGCCATGCCACCAGCTTCACTGACTGATAAGTAATCTTTCTCTATCGCTTTTACCTATTTTTTATTTAGGATTATGTAATCATATAGTTATAATTTATTCATTATTACAATAATTAATAAAGTTGACTGAAAGAAGTTTTTTGTAACTTAGGTTTAGTACTTACCAACTTTAGGTACATGAAACTATTGCTACAAGTACCTAGCTCCACAGTTGGTGGCTGGCTTCGTACCGGAGCCACCACCAGCTATGCAGAGATTCACACGGGAGTTTCGTTTCAACTTTCTTAGTACATTTGACTTCACAACTTTGAAACCAGTGACGATTTTTGCGCGCAATTCTTCGACACTCGTAATATCACGCCATAAGTAATAGTCACGCACTTGCACTAGATGGTAATGCAGGTTCTGGTGAACCTGGTAGCGGTTCTTTTTTGCACTAACTCTTGTTTACCAAACCGTGTGGCATTTTGTGAGAGACTAGCTAGATCACTAGAATTGTGGCGAGCTTGGCTATCCCAGCATAACCTTGTGCGAGAGGGAGCGTAGTAATTAGGCAGGCGCGTGTCTTGAACGCGTTTGAGAAAGAGATAGTAATACTCTCTCGGTTCCTGCGCTATGATTTTTGGTAGCACGTGCCGTGCAACTTAATGACTTTTGGATAAAGAAGGATCAGCTGATTGCGAATCAATGTTTACCGCAATTAAGTAAAAAATAAGAATTTAGGACAATTTTTTTCGATTTATTTTTTAAATATGGCGAGAATGCAATTCAATACATTGTATATAAATAAAATTAGGGCAATATATTGTCATATATATATACCTATTGTTTTGTTATACTTTTTAGGGCTAAGTATTAATTTTCTCCTCCACTATCGCCTATGAAACTAAGTTTTTTCAATGCATTTAAATAAAACCCTAGATTGTTATACCTTGTTAGATAGCTGATGAAACGTAGATATTTTATAACTTATCTGCCGATCAACTGCCATAATATTTTTTTTAGATATCCCTTAGAGAAAAATAAACTTTCTAATTTTTTTTTTAATTTCTTAAGTTTCTCTTTTCTACTACGGCGTATTGAATTAACTTATTCACTATTTTAATGATTGAGGTCCTAAAGCATCTTATCACACATGTAAAAATGCAATAATTATAATAATAAGACACACAAAATAAACAAAATTAAATTTAGTAGCCTAAAAATCGGCAATTTTGAATAAAAAAAATAAAAGTCAAATATCTCGAAAAGGGTTAAGTTTAGGGTAGGGTGTTTCGTAGTAAAATAAGTCAGAAATGATGAGTACTCCACGCCCTTAACGGATCTAGCACGACTTTTCCTGTAACCCTGTATATATATAAATGGGTACAATGTATAATTTTAAAGGAAATATCAAATAACGTAATGCACATTATGCACTATCAACCAGTGTTGGGCGTTAATCAATTAAATTTCAATCAGACTAAAAATTCAATTCAATTGAAATCAATTGCAATTAAGGGTGAGGGGGTAGTTTAGGTGGTGGGTTAGGGGGTGGGTTAGGTGACGAGTTAGGGGGTTGGCGGTGTGTTAGGGGGTGTGTTAGATAACTAAGCTAACCTAACCCACCCCAATTAATCAATTGTTAATTGCTGTTTCGCAATTGACAATTAATTAATTGTCAATCTTTAATTGCCTGAACAATCAAATTTGCCCAACACTTCTATTGACACGGCAAAGAGAGAATAGAGAGTGTAGATTCTGCCACGAGGCAGATGAAATTCCCATGCATCTTCTCACCCAATTCTGTCTCTTGATGGGCGTAAGAAACTCCGTACTGGGAAGGCACAGGCCCCAACCACAGGACATAAAAACTGTCAGAACCAGGAAAGTCCTTCAGTTCTTTTTATTCTTCAGTTATTTTTTTATAATAAACAACATAATTAACAACAAATAAAAATTATACTCCTGGGATAAAAATCGCAGCCTCTACTGCTGGCTTTTGGGTGAACCAGACAAATAAATAGCTTCGATAAAATTGATCCTAGACCAATGGAAACTGCCTGATCACTCAGATTACCTATAATAACTTTCATTTCAACCTTTATATCAATTAATAAAAAAGCTTTTAAAAGGTAAGGGATGCACAATGTACTTGTCTGTTTGCAGTAGGGGAAACCGTAATACCACATAAGAAAGTCAATTTTTTGCCTCCTATTAATAATTTTGTTTTCAAGACCATAATTTTTAAAATTTCTTATAATTTTTAGATACACGCTTATAGAGCGGCTTTAGAGAGGATTTTATTGGACCACGATCCAAAGATGAAACATGCCCCTGTCAGAAGTATTAAGCATTCATACTCCATGACATTTAAAAGGTAAACTTTTTAAGTTATGCGAATTAAATAAGTATGTACTTTAAATTACTTAACCAACGTTGAGTTATCGCCATATACTCGTGTACTGCTGCAGCACCTCTTCTCATATGTGTGCAATTGTAGCAATGGTCAAAGAATCAACTTATCCATTAGCTAAACCATAAATTTAATCATCATGTTGGTCACTGTTTGGGCGCCAGAATTAAAATGCGCAGATCGGTATAAATAGTTGCCCTTTTTGGCCTCGTTGGAAAGCTTTGATAAACATAGACGTGT